AACAAAGAGTATTAGTGTTTTCAATCTGCCATATATATGCAGCAGGGAGAGGACGCTGAGAACTGCCTCTTACCAAGGATGCATATTAATATAATTTAGGCAGTTATGGTGGTTAGGAGATTCTGAGAGTTGTAACACACAAAAAAGCCAGTCTCTGACTACAATAACTAAATAATAAATTCAGAAGAAGCAATGTAAAGCCAGATACTTATGCTTGGGGGGCAGACAGGAGATGGCTCCTCCTGAATTCATACCCTACTTGCAAACTTACTGACATGAAACTGGACATCTGAAGAACAGCATACACAGGTTTTTAAAAATAATCAGAATAACATCTGCTAGTAACTGTTGGAAACAGGAAGCCAGACTAGAGGGCTCACAGCCTTAGTCTGCAGGATTTCTCTTATTTTCTCAACTTGTAACCAGCTTTGGAGAAGTAAACACGGATGCTTGAGGAAGGGATCAGTTTTGGCTGCGGTGAGCCAAGGTGGCTCTCCAGATGTTTTCAGTCTATAAACCACTCTCTGACTAGCCAGCAGAGGTAACTGAGAAGGATTAAGAGGGATGTAGTTGAAAAATATCTGGAGGGTCAAAGCTGCCCACTCTTCCTATGCCCCCTTCTTTGTCCTTAAATGATTTCCTCAAGCCTTATATTTTATTTCAGTCTGAACAGAGACCGAGAGCACCAAACGGAACAAAATCAACATTGGCTCTGTGTGGGAACCTGAAATTTAAAACACAGGCAAAGAGAGAAGCTAACATAACCAATTTCTCTCTCTCTCTCTCTCTCTCTCTCTCTCTCTCTCTCACACACACACACACACACACACACACACACCTCAAACTCTTCACAAATGCCTGCACTAGTAATATCATGCCAGTAATGAATCAAAGTGACACCAGAAAAGGACTGATAAGGCAGGTGAAAGCTCTGCTACCCTAATCCAATTTTATCTTTTCCCGGCCAATCCTGGTTTTATCCAAACAGGATGTTGCAATCATGCCGTGCTGCCTCAGCTGATAAATGAAATTAAACTATTACTATTTCATAATGTGCATTGATGTTTCTTGCTCTAGGCAATCAATGTGTCTACTGATTCCCCTACTGAGTGAAAGGAAAGACACTTAGTGAAGAAAAACACTTGATGTCTAACAAAGGTAAGCTATTTGGATCAAATGTTTACATATAAAAACTCAGCTTCAACATTTGGCCAGACCAACATATGGCCAGTATAGGGACACACAGGATGACAAAACTGTGGATGCTGTTTTGAGCCCTCTAGAAGAGGAAGGGCCACATGGAAGCAGAGAGAATTAAATAAAATATAAAGATATTCAGCACCAACTCAGACCATTCATATATGTTCCCTGAATGAGCCCAGAGCAATGATTCTCTCTTAAGACTGACTCATCCGGGACCTGTGGTGTCCCGGGTCAGGTTCAAGGTCACATATAAAGCTCTCTACAGTTTGGGACCCCATTACTTTGCAGAGTGTCTTCCCCCAATAACATCCATCCACACCCCCAGATCCACTCTGGCCAGGCTCCTCCGGATAGTCACTCCAAAGGAGGCCAAGAAAACATCAACTAGAAGCCGGGCCTTCTTGGTGGTGGCGCCTATCTTCTGGGACTCACTCCCAGTTGAGCTCCTTCCCTGCCTACATTTAAGAGATTCCTGAAAACGATGCTCTTTAGAGATGCATTTGATGGCAGTCTCCTCTGATGCCCTTTCCCGTTGCCCAGGCTGTCCCCATCTTTGCTGTCCTTCTAAAAGCAGACAAAGACCTTTCTTTTGAGGTAGGCTCTCCCTGAATGACTGGCTTCCTGAGTAAAGTTTTTAAATAGACAGTTGTACCTTACTGCTTTGAATGGGTTTTGGGGTTACTTATGTTTTTTGTATAGTATTTGTTTGATCCTTTTTAGTAGCTGTATACTCATTGTTGTTACCCTGTTTCCCTGAAAATAGGACCTAACCTGAAAATAAGCCCTAGCATGATTTTTCAGGATGCTCGTCATATAAGCCCTATCCCCCAAAATAAGCCCCCGTTAAGTGAAACCCCGCCCTCCACCCTTGTGCAGCAACCAGAAGAAGATGACATGACTGTGTTTGAATAAATGTAGATGGTTGTCCATGAAAAAATTAAAACATCCCCTGAAAATAAAGCCCTAATGCATTTTTGGAGCAAAAATTAATATAAGACCCTGTCTTATTTTCAGGGAAACACGGTAGCTTTAATATTATCTTTTAATGATATAAGCCACTTTGGGTTCTTGTAAGGAGAAAAGTGGAGTAAAAATATTTTAAACAAATAAATAATGAATGAAATAATTGCCCAGATGGCAAAAACTAGAGATACATTGTTACCAACAGTGCATGGAAAACCAATCTGGTATCTTTTTGGAGATGGTCATACAATTTGTCGAATGCTTTGTACCTTTTGTATCTTTCAGAGATCTTGCTGGCCCTAATAGGCAGAGAAAACTGCTGTTCTGCCCCAGCCAGGTCAATCGGGGAAGTATTTTCATCACACAAGAAAAGAAGCCTCCAACAGTAGCCTCTCCACACAAAGCAACAACTTATCATGCTATGAAGAATAGATTGTCCTTACAGTGTATCCCAACGTCTGCTAGAACGTGCAATTTTAAAAGGAGCTTTCCTTTCATTAGAAAAGCTTTCTGGGAAACTGCCCTGCTCTTTTCCCCCTTTGATTTCTGAAAAAATCACCCAAACATCCTCGGTTTCTATCAATGCATCCATAACAATATTTCTACTAAACCCTGCTACATCCCAGAAAGCTACAATTTGGACAGAATACAGAGGCACAGTGTAATGGATTTGAAAAAGAAAAAAAGCTAAAGAAATCCTTATTTAGACATATCTTTCTGCACACAGCAGAGTCTGCCATCCCATTAGGCAGAGCAAGGCAGCTTGTCTTGAGCAGAAGATCCTGCAGGAGAGAAGCCGTAGCAATGCTATCCTGCTCCCCTGAAGTGCGCTGTCCCATTGCCAGTGCTGAAATAAAAATTCACAGTTTAACGGGGTGCAATCTTCTCTTTTGCTTCTGGAAGGAAAGTACTTTGGGCCACAACGGATAAGGGAAGAACTGCCTAGAACTTGTCACAAAATTGCCAACAGCTAGGCAAGCAATTTCCGGTGCTGAGAAATTAAACTACCACATGATAAAGGGCTCAAGCAACAGGAAGCCAGATTAATTTCTGGTGCTGAGAAATTAAACTACCACGTGATAGTAGTTTAATTTCAAGCAACAGGAAGCCAGATTTAGGCTGAATATCAAGAAAAACTTCTTAACGGTTAGAGCAGTACAACAATGAAACCAGGAGGTGGTGAACACTCCAACGCTGGATGCATTCAAGAGAAAACTGAACAACCACCTATCAGATCTGATTTGATTTGGATTCTTGCCTTGAGCAGGGGGTTGGACACGATAGCTTTCTAGGACCCTTCCAACTCAATTATTCCATGATTCTACAGTATGATTCTATGAATCCTGAATCTCTAGATACAGAATTTGCACAAACCAGGCTTGTCCTCTGTCTTACCAAGGAGTATTTCATATACACAATGAGGCATGTGTAGGACAGTCTGATACAAATGAACAACAATGGTACTAACCATATATATGCAATTACTTGCTAACCTGCCTCAACCCCCCCCCCCTTCATGGATATGGCCAGGGATACCAAGAGATTGAGTTCTGCCTGCTCCAGGCAGCTTCCAGCTTAGGACACTTCTCATCAAGTGGCACTATTGAGATACTTTTTTTCCCCAAGATCAGGAAGATCCAAATGAAGGAGGTAACAACTGGATAAGAAAAGAGGTCCAGATAGAGAATGGATGAAAAAGACCAGAAAGCACAGTTTAAGAGGGAAATGACCACAATCTGACAAAGAGGAAAGAAAAGATGGTGAGCACATCTGTTTTTTTTGTTTACTGAACTTCACGTATTTAGCAATATTAGACACATAAATACAGATCAGAAATAGGAGATTTCAAAACATGAATGTCTGAAGACAATGTGTTCAACTTTGTCTGCCAGTAACTTTAAGTTCACTTTCCGAACTTACCCTTAGCTCCACTTCTTTGCCCAGTAAATCGTATAGAGATGCTCCTTTCGAGGTGATTTCTGAAGCAAGCTGCCTGGCAGTCTTCAGATCTGCAATCTGAACAAACATGCCACTTATGAAAGCCAGGGAAGGGGAACATATGGCTAGCAAAAGCAACACCACTGGCTACTATTACAACTGTAAAGACCTGTCCCAAAATAAGCTAATAGATATCTTTGCATCATTCTCCTGAATAAAAAGCCAAACTTCATTTTTTGTTATTAATCCAACTCTTGCCCTTTTTTTGCTTGGAAGAAAAAGCAGCAACACAGAACTCAGGCTGGGTCAAGGCCCTAAATCATGCACGATGCTACCCAAAACAACCCAGGCTGGATCACAGTCCTTAGGCCACATCCTCAAAACAAGTGCACTTGGACCCTGAAAGTACTGGTGCTGCTTTTACCTTTGCGTGCAAATAGAATTGGGGGGTAGGGACATTCTTGGTTGAAAGCTGACATGAGACCACAATCTGGTTCAAGAACATATTCTAGATGGTTTTTTAAAAGAGCATAATCAACCCAACATGTAGTTTAGAACAAAGACAGCATATACTCTCAACCTGGCCAGAAAAATCAAATCTATTTATTTATTTGTTCAGTTCTATCCTACTTTTTCCTCCAATGTGTTCAAGTTGGTATAACTGACTCCTCCTCCTCCCCATTTTCTCCTCAACTACTCTCTGAAGTGGTCCCAGGGTCATGCAGTCATGGCTATGGGGAGATTTGAACCTGAGTCTTTGCAGTTCCAGTCAAACACCCAAATCATACCATCCTGCTGGCAAGGATGAATGTTCGTTTAAGTAGGAGGAGTTTCAAAACAGGCCAATGTGTTCAACTTTGTCTGCCAGTAACTTTAAGTTCACTTTCCGAACTTACCCTTAGCTCCACTTCTTTGCCCAGTAAATCGTACAGAGATGCTCCTTTCGAGGTGATTTCTGAAGCAAGCTGCCTGGCAGTCTTCAGATCTGCAATCTGATCAAACATGAGAAGAAGAGCTTTATCTTGCCACTTAAGAAAGCCAGGGAAGGGGAACATATGGCTAGCAAAAGCAACACCACTGGCTACTATTACAACTGTAAAGACCTGTCCCAAAACAAGCTAATAGATATCTTTGCATCATTCTCCTGAATAAAAAGCCAAACTTCATTTTATGTTATTAATCCAACTCTTGCCCTTTTCTGCTTGGAAGAAAAAGCAGCAGCACAGAACTCAGGCTGGGTCAAGGCCCTAAATCATGCACGATGCTACCCAAAACAACCCAGGCTGGATCACAGTCCTTAGGCCACATCCTCAAAACAAGTGCAAGCCAAGATGTATTCGCGAAGGCTTTCACGGCTGGGATCTAATGGTTGTTGTGGGTTTTTCGGGCAACAGAGGACAGTGTTGTCCTCTGAATATGCCAGCCACAGAGACTGGCAAAACGTTAGGAAGAACAACCTTCAGAACACGGCCAAAGAGCCCGAAAAACTCACAACAACCGCAAGCCAAGATGTTAGGAGCAAAACAGAGGGATTTAAATTATCAGGTTTTTCAATCAAACATACATCTCCCCTCCTCTTTTTTGGCACAATGACAAGAAATGGAAGGAAGACATCCGTGGTAGAGATGGGATGTTCATATCTGGAAACGAATACAAATGTCTCAGGCCCAGGTGGCCAGGATCCCCAGTCCCGCCTTCCCAAACCAATCTGTCCACTTACAGGTCACAGCGCAACACATGTGGCTGGCAGCCTGCTTGTCGGGCCAATCTCTGATGAAGCCTTCCTGCTCTTCTGGCTGCTCAGCAGCAACATGGAAAAGAGTGAGAAGGAAGCAAATTTTGTAGAATTTCTCAGCACAGCCTTGGAACATGCGGTTCTTGTGGTCTCCAAGGGCAAATAACAATTATTGTCCAGCGATCGGATCAGCTATTGTCATGTCATCCCATGGACATAGCCTTTTGCCTTACTATTACAACTGTAAAGACCTGTCCCAAAACAAGCTAATAGATATCTTTGCATCATTCTCCTGAATAAAAAGCCAAACTTCATTTTATGTTATTAATCCAACTCTTGCCCTTTTCTGCTTGGAAGAAAAAGCAGCAGCACAGAACTCAGGCTGGGTCAAGGCCCTAAATCATGCACGATGCTACCCAAAACAACCCAGGCTGGATCACAGTCCTTAGGCCACATCCTCAAAACAAGTGCAAGCCAAGATGTATTCGCGAAGGCTTTCACGGCTGGGATCTAATGGTTGTTGTGGGTTTTTCGGGCAACAGAGGACAGTGTTGTCCTCTGAATATGCCAGCCACAGAGACTGGCAAAACGTTAGGAAGAACAACCTTCAGAACACGGCCAAAGAGCCTGAAAAACTCACAACAACCGCAAGCCAAGATGTTAGGAGCAAAACAGAGGGATTTAAATTATCAGGTTTTTCAATCAAACATACATCTCCCCTCCTCTTTTTTGGCACAATGACAAGAAATGGAAGGAACACATCCGTGGTAGAGATGGGATGTTCATATCTGGAAACGAATACAAATGTCTCAGGCCCAGGTGGCCAGGATCCCCAGTCCCACCTTCCCGAACCAATCTGTCCGCTTACAGGTCACAGCGCAACACGTGTGGCTGGCAGCCTGCTTGTTGGACCAATCTCTGATAAAGCATGGCTGCCATATCTCTGCCTTCCTGCTCTTCTGGCTGCTCAGCAGCTGAGTAAGGAGACACTTGTCTGGAGTGGCCGGAGAATCAGCAGCCGGGCTTTGCTGGAAATTGGCCCGATGAGCAGGATGCCAGCCAAGTTGGGTAGGTAGGATTGGGGGATCCTGGTCACCTGAGCTCAGGATATTCATATTAGTTTCCAAATACAAATATCCCATCTCCAATCAGTGGGGATGCTCAGAAGCTTCAGTTGTATTAAGGCTGTGTAGGGCTTCTCAGAGTTGTGATTCAGGACCATTTGGAGGGACCGCTTTTTTTAAGAGCACGGAAGAGGGAAGAATAATGTTTTTTTGCTGGGAACAGGGTTGGTTTCACTGTTTGTCTGGATACCAATCCTTAGGCCACATCCTCAAAACAAGTGCAAGCCAAGATGCATTCACGGCTGGGATCTAATGGTTGTTGTGGGTTTTTCAGGCAACAGACGACAGTGCTGTCCTCTGAAGATGCAAGCCACAGAGACTGGTGAAACGTTAGGAAGAACAACCTTCAGAACACGGCCAAAGAGCCCGAAAAACTCACAACAACCGCAAGCCAAGATGTTAGGAGCAAAACAGAGGGATTTAAATTATCAGGTTTTTCAATCAAACATACATCTCCCCTCCTCTTTTTTGGCACAATGACAAGAAATGGAAGGAAGACATCCGTGGTAGAGATGGGATGTTCATATCTGGAAACGAATACAAATGTCTCAGGCCCAGGTGGCCAGGATCCCCAGTCCCACCTTCCCGAACCAATCTGTCCGCTTACAGGTCACAGCGCAACACGTGTGGCTGGCAGCCTGCTTGTTGGACCAATCTCTGATATCTGAGAAAGAAGGCCTGCCATATCTCTGCCTTCCTGCTCTTCTGGCTGCTCAGCAGCTGAGTAAGGAGACACTTGTCTGGAGTGGCCAGAGAATCAGCAGCCGGGCTTTGCTGGAAATTGGCCCGATGAGCAGGATGCCAGCCAAGTTGGGTAGGTAGGATTGGGGGATCCTGGTCATCTCAGCTCAGGATATTCATATTAGTTTCCAAATACAAATATCCCATCTCCAATCAGTGGCATTTACCCCCGACAAAAGAAGCATGATTAAAAGTATGGCACTCATGTAATTCAGCATGTCACAATCAACATATTTTAACAATGGCTAATCTATTTTAAAATGAACTAAAATATTTCAGTATATTAAGTCCCACGCACTGCTGGTGTATGCGCGAGCTCTTGGTGACAACCCTTAAATGTTGATAGTAAATCTCACTGGTCAGGACGTTCTACAACTCTGTGGTCATTGCTGATTCAGACTCAACACAAAGGACATCAGTCTGTGATTATCCATTGAGTTTCGGCTCCCAGTGTTAAATACGGAAACAAACCTTTCAAAATGAGTACACGATGAAACAAAATAATTGGGCAACGACTAGCCTGTAATGCACCTCCCGTGACACTGAAAGCAACAGCAGCACTTAATCAGAATCAGAAATTATAGACTACGAAGTGGTTGCTTCCAACAGTCCTGCTGCTCACCAAGCATCTGTCTGTCTTACATTACAGCAGAGAACCATTTGAATGTATAACACTACCACGGACCCTTGAGAAGACCTGGGTGTTTCAATACATCACAGCAGCTTTTACTGTGATATGTCAGCTTTCCCTAATGACCACAGAGGCAGAATACAAGCCCAATGCTAGGATTCGGGAGAGGAAATGCCTGATTTCAGTGTTATACAGAAGTTGAATTGGTGGGTCTGGATGTGGGAAGTCCTTGGTTCCATGAAGTTCTCATAGATACCCTCACGAAGGCAGTGTGTCTTTTCCTATTTTATGGGACTACCTTGAGGTTAAAGAGCCACTCTAAGAGACCACAAGGACAAGATGCAAAACACACACACACACACAAGAGAAAAAGCACCAGGCTCCTTACTTTTGAACCAAGGTCAAATTTGAATTTGCCTGTATCTTCTTCCTCCACTGCAGTGGCTTCCATCCCTTTGGTCTTCATGGCATTGTAAAGTATGGACGTGATCTTTAACAGCTCCTTCACAGCATAGCCATCTGCCTGATAGAGCTTCTTGGTGTTGAGCTTTATATGAGCTTTAGTTGCCTGTTGGAAAGACAGAAGTAGTGCTTTGCTCTTTTTTAAAAAACTACATTTACATCTCATCATGCTGGAACTACTGTGCAATGCACAAAAAGTTTCCAGGCGCTCTCTCATCCAGGCACTGACTGGCCAGATCCAAATATTTCACAGTTGCCTTCTAGCTAGTTGTCTTTGCTTGCCTGGCTACTTGCTTATTCTCTCATCTCTGCCAATCTGCTTCACTTCAGCCTTCCAACTTCTTTCTCAGCCAGCTTGCCATTCTGGTTGCTGACCCCAGGCCTCCAAGTTCAGAGCCCAAGAAATTTACTTTTGGGGATCACAACTCCCAGAATGCTAGATGCTCTGTGGAATGGTGAAAAGAGTTTTCTGTATGCCTTAATGGCAGCAGTATTTCATAATAAAAAACTTTTTGTGTAGAAAGTAGTCTTTTGTTATCAAAAACTGCCACTACTAGACAACATTCTTGGCAGACAGGGGTGATTTTTGGTAATTAAAAGACATATTTTGTAGCTCCTGCAGCTTCCACGTGACAAAAAGGGTTACACGGGGTTCAGAAAAGCTGTAGGACAGAAACAGGATCTTGGTATAAATTGCAGAACCGATTTTACAAACTTTTGCATCCAACTTGATTGTCAAAGCTTAGACCCTGTAATAAAATAAACAAAATAAGTTCCCCTTTGAAAAATATAAAGGCTGAATTTACTCCATTTATATTTTTCAAAGGGGAATTTATTTTGTTTATTTTATTGCTCTTTCAACACCTAGTTTGGATTTATAATGGGAAACCATCATTTCCCGCTATATGAACAAGCTACATGCTCCTTTGTTTCCTTCTGTTTTAAATAAAGACATGAACCTTACAAATTCTGTTGTAAATATAAACTTGAAAAAGTTCAGTTGGTCATCATATGTAGGCTTCAGGGAACACTTGATTCAGGGGTAATACTTTTAGTTTAAAGCATAATGTAAGCAATTAAGTCACAGAGGTAAGATCACAGGGAGAACAATGAAAGATTAGGGGGTTAGAAGAAAGCTAATTCATGAAACCCTGAGCAGGAAAGGGAGCAATTCCCTCTCCTAACCAGGATAAGAAGTTTCCATTACACATTAATGTCTGCAAACATCAAACTGCTTTGCCAAATAACGCTCCACTGCACCATCTTAAAGGCAACTAGAAAATTTTAAAACAAGCAATCACAAGAAATTGATTTCAAAAGGACAAAACCCCAAAGCATCGAAACTTCAGCTTGTTTTTGCTCTTGCAGCTTTCCCGTATTTTATAAAATACTTTTCATTTCAAGCCTTCATCCAGTGCATTCATACCAAGATCATGCTGAAATGAACATGGACAACTCCACATGAATGGCCTGTGAGATCCACATTCAAACTCTTTACCAGTTATGAAAAAGTAACTTCTGTCCAAAAGCAGGAATTAAAAGTGACTCCACATCACTGGATGGATAGAATACTAGATTATTAGTGGACTGCAAGCTGGGCTCTCTAGAGAACATAAAAGCTCATATAATCAGGGAGCATCTAATATATGATAAAGTAGGTACTGTACATCGGAAATGAGGAACAAAAGAGATGGATAAAAAATAGTGAGTCTCTAGATATGAAACTGACCTGAGCAATGTTTAATACTCTCTCTTGAGAGGTCATGAAGGGTCAGATTCAACACTAAGAGCCAAACTAAAACAAACCAGGCATTTCAAAATAGCACAAAAGAATATGTTCAAAATATCAGACAGAGTATTTCCCATTCACTTTCATCTTGCAGTAAGGATGTGAAGAGCTGCTTCATGACAACAACAAGTATAAAGTCTTGAAAGAAAATTTAATTTTTATTTTAGCAGAAAACTTATAGTCACAGCTTCACCAGATGGTTCATGAAAAGCATTCTAGAGGTATTGTTAAGAATGAGGTAGTTTGGATCCCTTTAAAACACAAAGCAGAAAAATCAATTACTGGTAAGGGAACAGAGTCCAAGTACTAAAATAGAAAATAATGTACTTTCTGTACTTCTTAGCAGAAGCCCATAGCCAGTATCTAAAGGAATCAAAGTTCTGAGTCATGCTTGGAGCAGCTATTGCAAAGCCCTCTGCAAAGGTCAACAGATGTTCTAAGTCTATTGCTTTAAGGGAGAAAGGTCAACAAATGTTCTAAGTCTATTGCTTTAAGGGAGATTCAAAACCATCTTCATCTTGGAATGGTACTCTCAGAATACATTTATCCAGATGTGCTGCACACAACAACACACAAACAAATAAAACCAACGAAGTGAAACACAGAGAGTCAAAGCAGTGTGTAACAACACACATTTGAAGAAATATGTTTTATAGTTCAATAGCCCTCATTATACATTTACCCAGATGTGCTGCACACAACAACAACAACAAACAAAATAAAACCAACGAAGTGAAACACAGAGAGTCAAAGCAGTGTGTAACAACACACATTTGAAGAAATATGTTTTATAGTTCAATAGCCATAATCTTATGGTTTATGGTGATGTATAAAAGCACAAGTATAAATGAAGGGAGGCTTCATGCTGCCTGAGGCATGATCAATTATCCTGTAGTTACACAATCTATACCACTGGTTCTTAACCTTGTGTTACTCAGGAGTTTTGGACTGCAACTCCCAGAAGCCGTCACCACCAATTGTGCTGGCTGGGGTTTCTGGATCATGCTGTCTGAGGCATGGCCAATTATCCTCTAGTTGCACAATCTATAGGATGATTGGGGGAACAACTAAAAGACCACAAAATATGAAAGTCAGATGTATGATTATCCTTATGTGCATACTGCCTGAAATGCTGTCGTGGAACCTTTTGTCGTACAAGCGTGATGACATCAGCTGCTCTTCTGGGGGAATTAAACCTTTCTGGTTCCGCGCCTCACCCCACACATTTCAAGGTTCATGCTGGGGAAGCCTTTGAGTGCCAAGGGTGGGGAGAGTCTTTCATTTTGGAAAAGGGCCGTTGCCAGGAAGAGCAGCGCTGATTTTTGGACATGAAAGACTTCCTCCCATCTCGTGGCCTCCAAAGGGTTTTCCAAGATGAAAGCGATCACAAGGCAGACCTGGAGGGAGGAGAGGACTGAAAAGGTGTAATTTTAAAAAAGCGACTGTGGCTGATGACATCATCAGCTTGATATAATGTAATTTTACATTAATGAATTTCAGCCAGCATTTCACAACAGGATTTTGACTCAGTTTTATGTATTATTACAGCATACACAACATTTCTCCTGCCCTACCTCCTCTGCTCCACGCTGGTACTAGCCCATAACTGATTCCATGATTCATATCTATCAGTGGTGCACTAACTGAGCCTTAGTACAGTGCTAGGAACACATCCTTAATACAGTGCTTCTCCTCAGCAAACTGCCTTCCTAATCTTCAACCCTTAAACCAGCAACACTTGCGGCTCTTTGAATCTCAAAGGTCACCTACCCTGGATGTATGTAACAGCCGGCTGGGGAGTTCTCTCTCCCTTCGTCACAAAAAGTGACACTATAAAACTGAAGCTGGTTGAGCCCAATGATTTGTCACAGCTACACATAGAAAAAAACAAGCTCAGTTCTCAGTAGCTAACCATACACACTTGAATGTGACACACAGCTGGGAGGAGGCAGTTCCTGATATAAGGAAACCAAATTGCCCTGCAATATATAAGACCTCCCTGAACTGTTTTCATTCCACATTTCTGACTCACCACCTCTGCCTACCTTCAAATCCACTAGTATTATAGTTTGTGTTCATTTTTAGCATGTTCTTCATAGACGTTGCTGAGCACTGATTGCTCCATATATCAGCAGATATCAGCAGTGGGGAAAACATAATAGGTCATGCACTTTTAATTGAATGATTTTAAACCAGGCTGTGAAACCAAGCCAGCTGAACAATCAAGAGTGCCAATTTGGATCTGGATTTAATCCAGAATGGTTTGGATCAGGGCAGTATGGATCCAGATCAATTCAGCCTGATCGAAAGAAATTTAGAGCAGTGAATCTCTACCAAGAGTTTTCATAGTCTTACAGCCTATGGAATCAGACCAAGAGGAAGGTAATCCAGTCTTCCACTTCACATAGTGCCACGCCTACCTTCAAACCCACTAGTATGATAGTTTGTGTTCATTTTTAGCATGTTCCAAGAGTTTTCATAATCTTACAGCCTACAGAATCAGACCAAGAGCGAGTTAATCCAGTCTTCCACTTCACATAGTGCCATTCCAGTTCCCCACATGGCTTGGAGAGCTCTCTAGCTTAGCACACAAATGCCTACACATGTGTCTCCTCTCTCCACACTGTTTTGCCCATGACTCCACTGCTTCTTTAAACAAGCTGTTATAAAGTGCAAACCATATTCTGCTTATATACCACCCCACTGTGCTTAAAGCGCTCCCTGGATAGTTTAACATTTAATTATGCAGGCTCCATATTGCTCTCCCAGTTGAGCTAGGAACTGAATTTACAGACCTCGGAAGAATGAAAGATGGAGTCTACCTTGAGCTGGCTACCTGAATCCAATGGGATCAAACACAAGCCATGAGCAGCATTTCCGACTGCAGTTAAGACCTTTTCAGCAAAGACCTTTTCAGTCTGAGAACCCATCCACAGCTTGCAACTTAAGAACCGTAAGCAGCATTTCTGACTGCAGTTAAGATCTTTTCAGCAAAGACTGAAGAACCCATCCACAGCTTGCAACTTAAGAACAAAATCTTTATATCTAATAATGTGCTAATTTATCTTCTCTGTCCTGTTACACAAATTATTAGGTAGTTGTTTTTTTTTAAATCCATGTAGATTTTTAAAATCTGTAACATAGGCCACGATAAAAAAGGTCATGTTTTAAATTCATCAGATCAATAAAATCATGTCAAAAACTGGGCTATAGGGAAGAAATAAACTGCCAGCCACATCCCTTCATGATGAACCCTAAAATAAGCTTACCATGAATTGAGCAACTGCCTTAATGAAAAAAACCCGGTCCTGCTCTGTCTCAACATCGGAAGGGATATCCGTTTGAGGCTCATATCTGCAATAAATAAATAAAATCCAGAAAATTTAAACAACAGGTCCAGCTGCACATATTTTCTGAAATGCTTTGTATGAAGAGCCTGCAAAATGACAGAACAATACATATCTGAAACCTCAAAATCAACCCAAACCAATTAAGAAAAGAGCCAAAGAAGGGTATCCGCTATGGCGGTCAAAAAGAACTCTCAAGGCTGACGCTGTGTTTGAACATTAAATACTAACTAAAGACTGGGGAGAAACAGGTATTATGCAGCACCCGCAAATTCATATCAAAAACCTCAAGATCAACCCAAACTAATTAAGAAAAGAGCCAAAGAAGGGTATCAAGCTATGGCGGCCAAAAAGAACTCCCAAGGCTGACACTGTGTTTGAACATTAAAAACTAACTAAAGCCTGGGGAGAAACAGGTATTATGCAGCACCCTTTTTATGTCTCGCTTAAGGGCTCTCAAGACGCACAAGAAATAGTAGACTGTTCTGATCCAGTGCATGCTCCTCCCAGGTTTTTACTTTGAGGTTGGTAAAATATCCTGAGCTTGGACACTCCCTGAAGCTCCTGGCTAGTACAGAATTTCCTATAGCAACCCTTCAGCAGGTTTTCACTCAAAGAATCAGATCACAAATAAGGTGGCACGCCATGCAATAAAAACTGCCCCAGATGAAAGTAACCAAACATCTTGCCCACAGAACAATCAATACCTGATGGTTTCGACTGTTGTAAAAGATAATATTCAGGACTGATTTTACAAACTTTTGCATCCAACTTGATTATCAAAGCTTAGGGTTCACCTTACACCCTGTATAAATGTTAAACTGAAAAAGCCTAGCACTGCTATCTTTACCTATAAAGCTCTTGATTAGAAAGAAATGCAGTGTGCTTTGTCATTTTTTTCTGGGGCAATCCAAACACCAATCACTTCTCGCCTAGTTGGTAATGAAAAATCTTGCTTTCAAAGCACAACTGGAGCATTCATCCTCCAACAGCAGAGACCTACATTTATTCCTCTTTACCTGACCGCTGTTTGGAGGAGAACTGCCTTTTTGTGTACTGACATGAAATTCTTCTGTTAAATGTCTATATTCAGTTTCAATAGAAGTCCACTGTGGTTGGTGTTGTTAATACAAAAATATGCTTGAATTAAAACTAGAGGAGACAAAGGTTTAAGGTGATAACTAAATTTCAGTAAAAAAAACAAAACAAAACATAATATTGAGGTTATTTCAGAAAGTAGAACCTATATTACTTTTTGCTGAATATTTCAACATCTCAAGTGCATCCTTAAATCAGTTCATTTTCAGAGATTCAAGCTCTTTACAAGAATCATTACCCCCTTTACTCTATTTATATTGGAATGAAGATAAAGTACCAACCTTTTCACCAGCCAGAGCAGTATCTCTGAAACCAGCATGAAGTTTGGAGTACGAAAATTTTCCATGGAGATGAGCCGGGGATAACCCAGAGCCCTCATCATCTCTGTAAAGTCTTTAGCACAAACATATATAGTTTTAATGAATGCACGTTTGTCAAGGAATCATTCTCAGCTCTGTTTCCTAAAAGCAACTGTTTAATTTAATTAAATCCTAATTTCAATGTGCTTCAACTCAATCTCTGACCAAGACCCATATGCAGCAGTCACAGGAACCAGATGGTGCTGTCTCCTGCTAAAATACGGTTTGCAAGGCACCCGACAAGTTTCAAACTGGAGCTCTTAAGGGGCATGCTCCTGTGTCATCCGTTGGTGTGCTGTTTCTACAATAAAGCTGGCAGAAGTAAACTTTACCAGTCCATCCAAACAGGGGCACACACGTGTGTGTGTGTGTGTGTGTGTGTGTGTGTGTGTGTGTGTGTAAACGAAGTGAGACTTTTGTGAGGGCAAAACAAGCAGGGGCCACCAGGGCAAACGCCACACTTTTTAATTAACTATGAACTTTAATACTTTTCCAAACCTTTGTTTCTCTGCTGGCTTCCCTCTCTCTACCAACTCTGGAAAAAACAACAACCAGGGATCTCTTGATAGGCAAAGGCTAACAATACATATCATTTACACACACACACACACACCCCTTTGCAAGCCACCTATTTTTGCAGGTTTTGCTCACAGAGCCTATTTGGAAATGAGGGTTTCCAACTAAGCCCGCTTATGAGGAGGCGAGGGGCTCTCTGCACATGCCCTGAGGCACCCCGAGACGCCAACTCTCGTTTCTGAGGCTGGGTTCAAATTGAGAAACATGCGGGGAGGGGGGCCACAAATACTTACTTACTTACTTACTTACTTACTTACTTACTTACTTACTTACTTACTTACTTTATTTATTTATTTATTTATTTATTTATTTACCCCACCCAATTACTGCCAGATTGGAAAAGTTAGGCTTGAAGGACACCCTCTCCCCCCCCAGCCATGAAACTCGGGGTGGGGGCAACCCTTCACTCGCCGACTGCCCGACCTAACAAGGTTGTTGTTAAGCCGCCTCGGGTGCTCCTGAGGAGAAAGATGGGGTGCAAGTTTTTCAAATGAATAAATAAGCCTGACGTAAAGGCGAGGGCGGGCGAGGAACCCCCCCCTTCTGCTTTGGGGTCCTTAGAGGAGGTGGGATAACTCGGGGCCGCTCGGAGGCTGGAAAGGGCGACCTTATGCTACTCCCGAGTAGGCAACGGCTCCTTCGCTCACAGCAATGGCTCCAGACTCTTCCCCCCCCCTCCGCACGCACATTTCCCCCCCGAAGGCGGGAAGATTTCCCGGCCCCAAACAAC